AAATACCCTTTTGTAATTTTCGACAATTAATGTTTGTCAGAAGAAATGTCACAATAATATTATTTGTCCTAACAAGTTAAATATGAAGCGTTGGAAATGATGTTACATATCGTCAAAATTATTATCATAAGTTGTCACAAATAACTTGTCACAAATAAATTATTAAGATGTTAGATATCGTCAAAATTATTATCAATGCAATTGTAATATTATATTTTAATTTCAATTTCATAAATAATTAAAAATATTCGAAATAGCTAAAAGACAATTACTTGGATATAAAGAAAGGTGTCATAGGATCACCATTGTCTTACATACTGGATAGTTAAGACATGTGGTGTACACATCAATGTCTTACATGCACTAAACGAGTGCACAAACAAAACATTAAACATAGTCTTTCTTGCACTAAACGAGTGCACCCACAAAACATAAAACACCACCGTCTTTCTTGCATTAAACGAGCGATGCTAAAATCTAACAAAAGAAAAAACACAACGAATAATCACCACTCCTAGCTGCAGACCTCCATTGCACGACGACCACTGCATCATCAGTTTGTCCCATCACCCTCCTCATCATCTTCACTGTCGTCATCTTCTTCCTCACCATCAACTTCTTCATCATCCTCCATGTCATTGTTGTTTGCAGCCTACATCATCGCACAGAACAGGAAAAGTGGGAATTACTCATTCATTACATACATACATTTAATAATACATAAGAAAAATGGGATCAGACTTACATTGAACGACCTGGCAGCTGGATTCCAAGCCTCTTCAGCGTCGCCTCAAAAACCAGAGGCATATTACGGTTCACCTGCTCGATCTGTTCTTCCATCATTCTCATCTTCGCAGCCTTGGCTTGAAGTAGAGCCAAACACATCCAGGCCACTGACCCCACAACCCATCCCAAGCACTCGCTTCCTTCGCTGCTGGCCTACCACCTCTCCATAAATAGCAAACTTGTTCACATCCTCCCCTTTGCTCAACTTCTCTGCCTCCTTTGCCTTCATTCCAGCCTAAACAGTTCAAGATAAAAACTAATGTTAGTAATTCTTGTTCCCCTATGCACTTAAACCCTACAACACCAAGCAATATGATTGGAATTCAGAATGTGTTTACTTACATGTAGAGTTTGAGCCTTGGGAGTGGTGAAATTATCCTTTGTTAAATGAAACTTCCTGAAAGTCTCAATAGGATCAGGTTCTCTGCCCGTCTTCTTGATCAGCAAAGACACAAGCAATCAACAAGACAGCACACTCATACATACAAAAAAGGGGAATCAAACAATAAAAGAAATATGTACTTTTTTTTTAACACACCTCTTCCAATCTGTACTTTGCCAAAGGGAGCAGAACCACAACTTGACTTCAGCTCACACTTCTCACGGTTCTCCTTGTTCTTGTCACTTGTATCCTGCAGGTTTTGGAAAAAGCAGAAGCACAACTAAGTTGCTGATTTATATAGCACAATAAACTACTCGACATGGGATAAAAGCAGAAGGTCTTACCACCTAGCTAGGGTCTGACCATTTCGAACCACTTCCCGCCAAATCTGTGGAGGTATTGCATTTAATGGATTGTTCATCCTGGCAGCCTCCGTCGCAATCACGGGAGGTTGCAAGCAAATCCCGACTCCTTGAAACGAGCAATCACGGTCTCCAACTCAGCTGCTGGATACTCACTGAAAGTGATCCACAGTCCACTTATGCTACTCTTGAAAATGGCCGACATTTCACGGGCTGCTGCTGTTGTCACAATCCTCTAAAATAATTATCACGCATACAGAACCACACTATTTGTCAATTGCAGAAACACATCGTTATGCAGTAAATGAAAACCAAGCATGTCATACCTATTGTCATGGAATTCAAGTACAATTCCATGACCTGGCTTCACCCCCTTTCCAGGTCCTCGTCCTTTCCTCTTCTTACCAGAACCTTATTCAGAATACATTGGTCCGTAATTAGACCTTTTACACGGTAAAAATGAAAAAAAAAAACAAAAATAACTTAAGAAGATCAAGTGCTTACACTGGTTCCTACCTCTCCGTCTGTGCTCATAACCGTTTCATCAGTCTCCATTGCAATGTCATCGGAAGGAAGCTCCACATGCTGAGTTTCTGACACATTTTCAGATTCATATGTTTGGTCAGTGTCCTGATCAGCAACATGAACACTTTCTTGTTCATCTGTAGGAGTTGCAGGAGGCATCTTCTTTAGATTTTTGCGTGTACTTGACTTTCCCATCTAACATATACATGTAAAGGTCTGTTAGAAAAAGGGGAAGATGAACATATCCAAAAAAATGGGTAAACACACAAAAACAGAGGCATACTTCGTCTCTTGGTTGTGGTTTGCTGGGGAAAGGTTTATGGCTAAGGTAAACGGTGAAGGGAGTATACACGAGAGTGATACTTATGAAGAGTGAGAGAGAGTTTAAGTTTTTAGATTCAGGGAATTTTAATTCCCTTAAATCCTGTTTTCCCTCGTTAACCCGGTATTTTTTTGGGTTAGTGCAACAACACATCGACGAATTCAATTGCAGGCGTGAAGAAAAAGACGAAGTTCTAGCATGCATCTCAATGGCAGGATAAAATCATCACAGCATTTAATTCAACGCGTAAATCCATGAGCAAATTCCAAAATTGAAGACTCGATAAGGGGAAAGAATTTAACTTACTATGCAGAACCCAAGCAAATCCCTATTGGGAGAAGACGAAACAACTGGTGCTTCGTCTTCAACCACCTCCTGCTCTTCCCTGTCCTTCGATCGGCAACATGCAACTCCTCCATCCTTCGTACAGTTCACCTCCGAACAAGACAGAGTTCGCGGCATGCACCGATCTCGCTTCTCGGTTGTCAACGATTCCAGAAGCTGAAGCCCCTCTGCAAACAACACCGCCATCAATTTTGGGATTATAGACTTTCCTCTTCGCGATGCAACTCTCTTCTCCCCCTTTTAAACGATGTTGCCGGGAAACCGCTCCTCCATTTTGGAACAGACGACAGTCTCCCGGCGGAGAGCGACGTTCAAGTGATTTTGAGGTTTTGGTACAGTGAAAAGGAGGATGAATCGTCCCCTTCACTAAATTGATATCTCCTTTTCGAGAATTAAACCCCCAAATGGCGTCGTATTTATCCTTTACAGCAATCTCCCATTAGCATTTGAACTTAACAAAATACAATATATGTATTAAACAAATTGCAATCCTCAATTATTAATTGAAATTAACAAAATAAGAGTAAGTCTAAAACAAAAGTCACCGTATAATTGTAACAAAAGTCTAAATAAAAGTCTAAATAAATTCTTCATAACCCGGTCTAGTCAAACTCAAGTTATCATAGTCTCCGTCATCCTTGATTATTCGAGGATCATCGACAATTGCGTCTTCTTGGTACGCATGTACTTCGAGAATTTCTTCTTCCTCGACTAGATTATAGAAATTTCTCGGTCTTGTCTCAATAACTTGAAAAAAATTGACCATGCTCATATATATACCTTTCCACTGGATACATCCAACAATATTGGACTGGTCCGGCAACTTTGGCTTCCCAAGGCAAATGAACGGCCAAGTGGATTATGATATCAAAGAACGCCGGTGGAAATATACATTCCAGCTTACAGAGGGTTATGGAAATTTCATATTCCATTCAGTTAGCTCTTGTACACTTAACTCCTTAGCACATATGTTCTTGAAGAAATTGCCAAACTCAATCAAGGGGTCAGCTAAAGCCTTGCCAAGAAGTCACGAGCAACCAGCGGAAGTAACCGCTCTAAGAGAACATGACAGTCGTGAGTTTTCATACCTGAAATCTTTCCTTCCTGGACGTTCACGCAATTCCCCAAATTAGAAAAATAGCCATCTGGAACCTTTAAATCTGATAGCCACTAACACAATTCCTATCTCTCCACCGGAAGATAGCTGTATGAAGCTCGCGGTAACACAATCCTCCCATTTATCTCAACGGGATGAAGTTCCTTTTTGATTCCCAACTCCTCCAAATATTTTCATGCACTTTTCCCGTCCTTTGTTTTACCCTCGATACTCATCATGGTACCAATACGACTATCACAGACGTTCTTCTCAATATGCATCACATCTAGATTGTGTCTGATCAGTAGTGAACTCCAATATGGCAATTCAAAGAAAATTGACTTATTCTTCCAATTATGAGATTTTCCAAATCCTTCAATTTGTATACCCTTCCCTTTACTTCCAAAAGTTATTGCTAATGAGTTGAGCTGAGTGGATACCTCGAGTGACGGCAAAATTCGTGGTGGGGGCCTCTTCTCTACTCTGCCATTAAATTCCTTCTTTTGCTTCCGCCACTTATGATCTGCTGGCAAAAACAGACGATGGTACATATAGCACTCCTTACGTCCATTCGTCAATCTCAAATGGCCTGTTTCAGCTCCACATGAAGGACAAGCCAATTTACCTTTTGTTGCCCATCCAGAGAGATTAGCATAAGCCGGATAATCGTTGATGGTCCATAGAATAGCTGCTCGCATGATAAAGTTCTCCTTCTTAAAAGCATCATAAGTCAACACACCGTCAGCCCACAACTTCTTCAGATCATCGATGCCTGGTCTCAAAAATACGTCAATATTATTGCGGTGCTTTTGGGCTAGGAATGAGTAATGTCAAGAAGGTGAAGGGTGGCTTCATGCACTTCCAGGGAGGGAGATTATACGGGAATAGAAGAACTGGCTACGTACTGTGAGTGCTCTTCATATTACCAAATGGGTTAAATCCATCTGGAGTTAGTCCTAACCTTACGTTTTGGGCTTCAGCACCAAAAGTTGGATCGTACTTGTCCAAAGTACTCCAAGCCTCACCGTCAACAGGATGCCTTAATATCCCATCTTTAGAATGGTGTCCAGCATGCCAAACTATGTCTTCGGTAGTTTTAGAGGACATGAATAATCTCTGTAGTCGGGCTTGATTGGAAAATACCGTAAAATTTTGAACGGAATTTTTTGCACTCTTCCCTTCTTATCCTTATAAACTTTCTTGTACCTTGACTTCTCGCATGATGGGCAAGATGTCGCCTTCTTCAGATCGCCGTAATATAAATCGCAATCATCCACACATGCATGTATTTCTTCACAATGTAGCCCAAGACCCTTCATTAACTGTTTTGTTGCATAGTAATTTTTTGGCAATGACTCCGCCATAGGAAATGCGCTCCGAATGAATTTCAACAACTACGTAAAGGAATGATCAGTCCAGTTGTTTAACCACTTCATGTTCATGAGCTTCATGATACATGACAATCTTGACAACTTTGGATCACAACCTTCATACAATGGTGATTGCGCTTCTCTAAAAAGTCTGTAGAACTTTTGGGCTTCTTTGTTAGGTTCTCTCGGCTCAGGATCGGCCTATGGAGGCATGAGGTCATTAAGAACAACGAGCATGTCATCCAAGTCCATATCGATATCACCGGTTTCATTCTCATCTTCAATGTCATCATCTTCGTCTTCATTTTCATCTTCATCATCGCCCTCCCCATGGTATACCCACTTAGTGTAGTCACTTCGCATCCCTTTATGAAGAAGATGCGTCTCTACCTCTTTAATCGTTAATCTGCAGACGTTAGAACAGACCATGCAAGGACACCTAATTTTACCATCTTCGTCTTTAACATTGTCCTCTGCGTATTGTGCGAACTTTCTAACTCCGTCCATATATTCCATAGATGCCCGATTCTTTAATTGTATCCAGGATTTATCAATTGATGTCATACCTACACCTATAGGTGTCAATTGGGGAACAACGTAGGATTTTGCGGCCACTATTTCTAGATGGGTTGCGAAATAGTGGGCAAAGGCGATGATTTATGCAAAAAGCCATGAAAACCTAGTAGATAATAATTGTTATGGGAAACAAAATGGACAATAGATGTAAACCTAGTGAACAATAGCTAAACACAAAGGTTGTAGAATGGAGAGCGGGATAAAAGAATGACTTGGAACTTCCCCACTTGCACTTGGACGAGTGTGAGAGCCACTATCGAATAGTAACTCCAACTTGATCATTGAAAATGCTGGTAGGATGTGTTTGGGTTCAATTGTGGTCATTCTCAACAAAAAGAAAAAGAAAAAACACTAGAGAGGATGAAACTTGGTCCCGCTACAATACTCGTGGTAGCCGCCTTGGGAAACGCTGTTGGGGAACAACTTAGGATTACGTCAACAATATTTCGAGATGAGGCTGCAAAATGGTGGGGCAAAGGCGATGATTTGTGGAAAAAGCCATGAAAACCTAGTAGACAATTAATATATAATACCAGATAGAAAACTCGTGGTAGCAGCCTTGGAAAAAAGGTTTTGGGGAACAACTTTGGATTTTGCGGACATTATTTCGAGATGGTTTGCGAAATAGTGGGTAAAGGCGATGATTTATGAGAAAAGCCATGGAAACCTACTAGATAATAATTGTTATGGGAAACAAAATGGACAATAGATGTAAACGTAGTGAACAATAGCTAAACACAAAGGTTGTAAAATGGAGAGTGGATAAAGAATGACTTTGAACTTTTCCACTTGCAGTTGGAAGAGAGTGAGAGCCACTAATGAATGGTAACTTCAACTAAGGATTTTATATATTAATAATAATAATTAATAATTAATTAATGATATTATTATTAATTAATATATTAATAATTTTAGGATGCATTAAAAGCATACATATTGAAGTTGATTTGAATTGTGTCATAGCATTATGTTCATTTGCAATTGTATTGATATTTTTTCATGGGAATGGGTGAAAAACACCATACCTCTTAGACCATCAACAACCATGAAATAGCCTACCTATTTCATTTGTGGCCCCTACTGCCACCTATACACTTTTTACAATTTCATTCTTTAACATCCATTTCATCTACATCCATGAAATCTATCTCCAATTTCATATGGTGGGCCCGATTCATATAAACAATATAACTAAATAATTATACACTCTAACCAATTGAAATGGGCCCGCTTGCTACCCCACTTGCAATTTCATTTGCTCTATCATCTAATGAAATATTTCATTATTGAAATGGGTTGCTACAACCATGAAATGGCAAATGACATTGCCATGTCACTTTGAAATGGAGAAGAGACAGCCGATGCAGCTGCTCTACTCACTAATTAATAGATAACGTGGTTTTATGCAGGTTGCGCACTGAATATTTGTACAGTCTCTCTCTCCCCTCTCGGTAGCTCATCGTCAGAGCTTCAATGCTGCCTCTTCTGTCGGAGGTTCAATTGATTTTGTGGAATATCAAGAGAGCGGTCTATTAATGCTGTGATCGGAATCTGATGATTGTGGCCAGCGACGGATCCAGGACACAGTAGAATACCGGGCCCGCATTTCATTAGAAAATTCGATACCGTATGAAAATCATAAATTTTTTTACAATATCAATTGTGCACATCAATCTTTTTAAATTTTAATATAGTGAATTCATCAATAATGGAGTCTACATCCATACTAATAGCATACTCTCTTTAAGATAAAATAGTTAACCAATTGGCGAGAAATTCATTGCTAATTTTATTACGTCGATAAATTTTCACCTATTTCATTTATGAAAAGGATCTCTCCGTAGTTGTTGAAACGAACAATGTCAACACTAGACAAATCAATCGACTAATCAATATATATATTTTGTGTCAATCCCTATTTTCACCAGCTACTCTAGTAATTTTTCAAGTGAACAAACCTCATATTTCTTTTAATCTTTTACGTTTTTTACTTTTAGAATTTTAGGTTTCATTGCTTGTTTTTCTTTAGGCGAGAATCATTGGAGTTAGAATTTTCAGGTTAAATTTAGAGCTGTGTTTTGAATATGTTCATCAGACCCATTTTTCTAATTACACACAATCTTATTATAAAATAACACTGAGCCAAATGACTACAACCGATAAACTAATAAGGTCTATACTAGCTTCAGATCCAGAGGAGGGCTGGACCGTGGCCCGGAGTGGCCTCCCCCTGGATACGCCACTGGTTGTGGCGGCAACAACTTCCTACAATTGGAGTCGACGAAGTTGCCGAATCTCGTTTGATTTTGAGTGCGGGAACTCAAAGAAAGGGTTACCTAGCCACAGTTAAGAATCAACTTACCAGAATACTTTTTTTTAGGGAAACTTACCAGAATACTAGATGGTGAAATTAGTGGTGTAAGTGTACACCACAAAAATCATATAAGAAATCTTTTAATCCAGATCACAAATCGCTTAAAAATATACAGAAAAATCTCATAAAACAAATCACAAATATTTCATAAACACACCAAAAATCTTCTAATGCATAGCACGAACATGGTAAAACAAACCACAAAAAGCATACAAAAAATCTCGTAAAGAATACCACAAATCACGTAAAACAAACTACAAACATCACAAACCAAACCACAGAATTTTCAAAACCACACCATAAACCCTATAATGCAAACCACAAACACGATAAAGCAAACCATAAAAACAAAACAAAAATGTCCTCATAAAGACCAAAAATCTGTTAAAACAAACCGGAAACCTCACAAAGCAAACCACCGAGTTTTCAAAAACACAAAAAAAACCTCATAATGCAAACCACAAACACGATAAAGCAAACCACAAGGGTTGTTGTTACATTTTTTTAAATTTTAATTTTTTTAATTTTTAATATTTAATTATTATTTAAACATATTTTTCATAATGAAAATTATACCCCTGCTTTGATTTTACACTAGGTCAACTCAGATAATAAAAAGTAATCACAACTCTATCTTTCTATTGGTTGGAGACTAGTGTTGTTACAATAACAACACAAGTGGTGTTGTCACACTATCTAGTCCCCCATCTCCCTATTGTAACTTAAACGGTATAGCTATTCCAATTCTCATACTTTTGTGGTAGTCTAGTTATTTTACCGTAGTTTTAAACTACAACTATGTATAAAACTGTATACGTAGTTTGGTACTAATTTATACCCATTCTATCTCACTAATTATGCTAATCCTACCTAATAAGTAATTAATCCTAACCAGCTACGACTTCCTTCTGTTAATTGCGCGTCAGGGTTTCACATTTCAATTAATAATAATTGTAACAATGAAGTGAAATCCTACATTATTCGCCTATATATATAAAGGTTACCTCCACCTTTATGGGCATAGCTCCCTCTGCCGCGCAGATCATATTACTTATCAATCAATTATCATCAGTGCCGCGATGAAGATGGATTACTCCCATCTGCCAGAGGACATAGTAGTGAAGATAGCAAGTGACCATTTCGAGATGCCCTCGCAGCTGGTCACCTTCTCCGTAGTTTGCAAATTCTGGAGGTCCATTGCTCTCCGGCCCCGAAATTACAAGTACGCGGCTCTCTGCCCGGTCTTCCAGGCCTCCTCGTCGCCGATGAGGGCTCCAACAGCCATGACTTTTCTCCCGTCATCATGTTCCACACGTTTGTTACTACTCCGATTAACGACGTATTTCCCGATCAAATATTCTCCTCTAGTTCACCACCACCTCCTCCACCTCCACGAAGAAGCCAGCAGCTGCCGCGAGTGACGATCCCTCTGGGTCCCAACCTCCCCACCGAATTTCAAGAATATCGGTAGAACAATCAGTGCCTGGCCTCCAAAGACGGGTGGGTCCTCGTCATCCACCCCCGCCCCGTCAGATTACACCTTCTCAACTCGATCACACGCGCCTCCATCGCTCTCCCCATCATCCGACTGGCCCTTGACGACTACGACGAGACCTCTTTCAACTGCCAGCCGTCTGACCCCATCGAGGGAGCCGTAATCTCTTCTTCTCTCTACGATGATCGCCATGTGAAATTCTTCTATGGGATTAGGGTTTCTAGGAAGAAGACGAAGAGAGGAGGAGGAAGAAGATAAGATTGAGTAGGGTTATTGGAAGAGGAGGCTCAATGCCAACTCTAGACTCAATGGTCTTTTATTTATATACAATGGTTACGTGCTAACCTCTATATAAAACCACCAATCACAAGTCGACAGGTGGCTAAGACCACTAATAAACAATAACGAATTAACTTAAAGAAAACGGCAACGTATAAGTGAAGCTATACTGGTATCTGTTTACAAAAGGACACCACAACTTCCAAACCATTGCACTTCAGTCCTTCTCGTTCTTCAGTGTTCTTCATCGGTTAAGTGCAGTAGTCTTTTAGTTGCAGGTTGCAGCAGAGAATGATCCTGCTTCTCCAACAATCAAGAGCAGGATGCCAAGATCATGGGATGATCTTCACACACCCCCTCAAGCTGGCAAGTACACATTGTGTACTGACAGCTTGTTAAGTAAGAATCGGAATCTTTCTGATGCAAGACCTTTAGTGAACAGGTCTGCCAATTGCACATCCGTTCTTACATTCTTTAGTATGATCAGTCCAGATTTCAATCTTTCTCTTGTGACATGATAATCTACATCTATATGCTTTGTTCGTTCATGGAAAACCGGATTTTCCGCAATATGTATGGCAGATTGATTATCACAATACAATATTATAGGGTTTGGATGATCACAAAAGAAGAACTCAAGCATTCCCTTGAGCCACTGAACTTCACAGCACAATTGTGCCAAAGTTCTGTATTCCGCTTCAGAGGAAGATCTGGATACTATCGTCTGCTTCTTACTTTTCCAAGTAATTAATGAAGATCCAAGAAAGGTGCAGTATGTAGTGACTGATCTTCTTGTATCAGGGCATGTAGCCTAGTCTTAATCTGAATAACCAGAAATTTGTAATGTGGTGGATGATGAAAAGAACAAACCCTGTCCAGGATTTTCCTTGAGATATCTAAGAATCCTCTGTAAGCCCTATAAATGAGTAGTGGTTGGTTGTGCCTGAAACTGTGACAAGTGTTGTATAGGAAAGCAAATATCTAGTTGAGTTGTAGTCAGGTACTGTAATTGCCCCAACAGTTGCCTAAAACCACTTCCATCTGCTAATGGTTCACCATCATTTGCTGAATACACCACCTTTTGACTCAAAGGAGTTTTAGCAGGTTTTGAATCTAAGAACTGGGAGTTGGCAAGTAATTCTAAACAGTACATCCTTTGAGAAACCATGATACCTGAACTTGATCGAGCTATTTCCAGCCCAAGGAAGTATTTCAACTCTCCCATGTCCTTGATCTTAAAGGCTTGCTTCAAATGTTTCTTTAGCTTAGTGATCAGTTCCATGTTGTTACTAGCAATGATTATGTCGTTAACATAAACAACCAACACAACAACTGAATCATCAGCTGTAAATCCGAACACTGAGTGGTCAGCATGACACTGTGTGAAGCCCGATTCAACTAGGAAAGTCGCTAACTTGATGAACCATTGTCTGCTTGCTTTCTTCAGACCATATAATGACTTCTGCAGCTTACAAACCTTCCCTTTGAATTCAGGTTTCTCACGTAATCCAGGTGGTAACACCATAGAAACTTCCTCATCTAAATCCCGATGCAAAAATGCATTACTCACATCCATCTGATGCAATATCCACCCCCTGTCAGCTGCAACTCCCAGCAGCAATTTGACAGAATTCAATTTTGCAACAGGAGAGAATGTATCTTGAAAATTGACAAGCTAAAACACCACACCAAACTACGACCAAGTGTAATCGAAGTCCGGGAATGCAGTAAAGTGGCAAGTTCTAAATATCAACACGGGGTCTAGATCTACTGCCAACTCCGTGATTATCTATTATCTAGCAAACTAAGTCGATTCATTTTGTTCTTAACTGAAAGCAGAAAGAAAGCAGGAATTGATTCGATTTTCTAAAGTAAGGAAGAGTCACTCGGGAATGAGTCCCCCTAGCTCCTTAGTTAGGTCTCAGTTGTAATTACCCTGGGTTGATTTACTATTGATTAAACTGCGGAAGATCCGACAGTAGCTTGGAATCTCTTAAGCTGACCAAGCCCTCTCAGTCTAACTACCCGGCAGACGATTAGTCTTCACCGGGATAGAAAGCTGAAGCAATAAGCATAGAACTCCACTACTGGAATTGGATTCCAGTACAAAGCAGTAGACTGGCTAACTCTCGTATAACCAATCCACTACTAACGAATGATGAATCTCTAACAACCTAATCAGATTCTATCTATCTTAGGTTGCAGCAGAAATCAAGAAAAGCTGATCAGACTTCAATCAATTCAATGAAACATGCATCATTCGATTAAAACCCAACAATATAATCATCCCAAGTCATTACAATCAAATCCCTAACACATGGAACTAAGGTTCTTCATACCCAAGTGAGAGAAGGGTTCAACTCCAAATAGAGAGAGAGAGGAAAACAGAAATCAGAGTAGTCATACTCATAACAATGAGGATAATCTGCTCCGGGATGATGATTTTCACTCCTATGATGATCTCCAAGCTCGATTTGATGAAACCCAGCTCCAAGCTCGCTTCTAGGATGTGTTCTTCGCACTTTCTCTCTCTAGGGCTCTGTTTTTACTCTAAAAAGTCGATTCTCTCACCTGTGGCTCGAAATTGGGTAAAAACCATAATTCCCGACTCACACGGGCAGGCCACACGGCCGTTTTGCTTACCCAGATGCCCGTGTGAGATCCAAAACGCGGCATTCAGATTAAGTGAAATTCAGGCTTCCTACACGGCCAGGGATACACGGCCGTGTGGAGCCTCCAGTCTGTCCGTGTGAAGCCTCGCACAATCCCACACAGCCACATTGGTTCCTTACACGGCCGTGTGGGATTTATGTGTGCCCGTGTGGCTTCCTCAGCGACTCGCCACACGTCCGATCTTCGTCCAATCGACCCCGAACTCGCTCCCAAACCTTCATTCACTTACTATGACCTGAAATATCACAAACAATCACAACCTAGCGTGAAATCGGCCTAAAACACGAGAATCAACATCTCAAACGGCTTATCAAACTCCCCCACACTTAATCGTTTGCTTGTCCCCAAGCAAACCAAGTCAGACACAAGGTACGCTCACATATTTCAATCATACCAACATTGGGGACAAATCATATTGGCACAGAAACACGTGAATCATACTGGCTTTCAAACATCAACACATGAACAACTTCAATAGCAACCTGGACAACCACCACAAAAGACATTCGAGTGCAGCAAAATCAAATTAAGGAGGAGTCTCCCTTCTGTTCATCAACCAACATATACTTGACTCAACCATTTACTCAAGACAGTCAACTCATGCATAAAACTCAAGACATCAGAATCAAGACCGAGCCATCTAGGTCCTCACCGAGGTAAAGAGTGCAAAGAACAAGGAAATGAATCACTCACTCTCGACCAGTGGGGTCAGGACAATTTGATGCGAAAAATGTGCATACTTATTCTCTCAATCCCTAACATCTCTTCACCATGACGGAAGCCTCTAAATGTTAGAGTTCACATAAATGGGTGTCATCACTAACTAATCCGGAGGTCTTAGACACAGGTTCAAGTGACTGGCTAGGGTCTTGGACATGGGGAAAAGGCCTTTTAGGTGGTGGAAGTATTCATAGCACAAGGTTCCACAATTCCAAACCCAACAAACTCACAGTCAATCAAACCAGTACTTTCTTTCTGCTATTCTGCATTACTCAAATTCTTTAGAGCACAAGAGCGAAGGAGGTCACATAAATGTTAGTATTTCTAAGCCAGACTGCTAAGAAACACTACTTAATGGGCACTATTTAGATTTTTTGGTGGTGGCTCTCTTTTCAAACACCTGCCCAACTTTTTAAGAACTACCTCCAACCCTTACATTATATTTAGCAGAAACAGCAGAGAACATGTAAAAACCACTCTGTGGAACCTTCTAAGAGATGCAAAAGGGTGATTTTTCATTGTAGACCAAAAGAAAGGAGAAAACACGGCTCAAAGGGGCTAACTAAGGGGTATGACACACCAGGACAGTCAATTTGGTTGTGGGCTAATCCTACGCCTCCTTCGTCTTAGCTAATGACAACGTGAATGCTACACATCATGGAAGAGGGAACTATCGCACAAGAAAAAAACGAGCAGGCTCAAATCTCACATGGCTACCTATCTGCTCTATCTCTCATTCTGATTACCTGAACTAGATGCATAAACGACTGTCAAGAAAAAGTGATCCATCCAAGTCACAGTTGGTAAGCAAACAGTAGAAAAACTGAACCCCTACACAATCCTACTGCACGTCTTAGTCATCATTATAGGTTGTCCTAGGCACAATCCAGTTGTCGTGCATTAATCCGAAAACCATTCAATTCACCAATCAAAACACAGTGCCAATATGATCAAACAGCCGTACTTGGAGCCCTCAAATCTCAAGATTTGGAGAGCGGACTAGGCTCCAAGTACACGTAAATAGATTCAAACCGATACAAAGAACCCCCCCCCCCCCCACACACACACACACACTTAAGCACGACATAGACCTCAATGGAGCATAGGGAGAGAGAAGGGGAACGATGTTACCGGATTGAAATGCTGCGGGAGACTGGTAGTGGACCAGTCAGCGGGGAACAAATGGAACGAACGGGCAGTTCTACACTAAGGGAACATCAAGAACACACTAGCACACCATGCATTACGAATCAAAGGTGGCCCAGATGGCCACAAAATAAACAATCCACAAAAGAAAACCAAAAGGACAAAAAAAAAACGACAGACTCAGTTCAAGCTCCTCAAACACATGGAGCAAACATAAAAAGTCTAAAAACACACACTGAGGGGCGACAAGTACAGCCTACTCGTTGCCAAGGTTGTCCAGATCGATGTCATTCATGAATGCATCATCATCATCAGCTGGTGGAGGTGGAAGTGGAGAGTCCTCCCAGGGAGTCCTCCAGACTGGCTGCTCGCCCGGTAGCAGCTGGAGCAGGTGCTGCTAGACCTCCTGCATGCGCCGAGGTCGGGCCTGCTCCCTCTCGATGCGAGCCAGGGTCACCCCCTGTTGGGTCTCCATCCGATCAAGACGCTCATCATAAGCAGCCATCCGGGTCTGGTACTCGGCATGGTGAGCCGAATGCTGCTGCTGGAACTAGAGCTGATGGTCGTAGAGCTGCTGATTCTGGAGACGCAGCTGCTCGAACTGCTGAGTGAAGTAGTCCTGGCCAGGGAAAGTGGAACTGCCACCCCCGTACTCGAAGGTGGTGGGGCGGGCGGCAGCAATATCATCCACATCTTCAGGGTGGACATCCTCATCAGCCGCATCCTCAGGAACCTCCGACTGGTCCTCCGCTGGGATCTGAGGTTGAGGAAACCTCTCGATCCACTTGACTCCTTGCTCTTCTCGAAGCAGGTGCATGCGACCTATCGTATATGCGCCAAAGACACTAGTGTCCCCCTGCTCTATGCACCCCTGCAGTGATATCTGGAAGTAGGAGGCCAGGAGGGTGATGAGGGGAGTGCAGTGGAGGCTCTAAAGCACTCTTGTCGAAGGTTCTTGCCACCACAGAACCCAAGTGGAGAAGATGATCCCCCTGGCGCATGGACTGGATGAAGTACATGGCTCTCCTGGTGATGGCGCTGGCACTGTCCGAGGCTGGAGTGTAGGACTTTGCCAGCAAGTGGTGGAGAATGCGGTTTTCGAGCTGCAAGGTGCTGGCCTTCGTCTTCCCCGCCTGGAAGGGACACTGGTCTGCCCGAGCGAGGCGGGTGTACAGTGTCTTGAAGTCCACCCCCTCTGGTTCGGTGAGCTCGGTGATGTATTCCTCATCATCGGCCAGGCCGAGGGCGATCGCCAGGTCGTGGTAGCTCATGGATCGGGGTGCACCGCCGAGCCTGAACTTGACGGCTTCTCCGTCCTTCCAATCCTCTGTGTATGCGTGCTTGAAGGTCGTGTAGAACTCAAGCACGAGCTCGTGGTAAACCTTCTCGCGAATGCATAGTAGACGGCGCCAGGGGCGGTTGGTGACAATGGCGGAGAAGTGCTCGTAGCAGTTCAGCTTCTCAAACTCCCGCTTGGACCAGTAATGATGCTGCCCAAACTTGCAGGCCAGGACGCTCTTAAAACGATGCTGGTGGGGGCCCCTCTTCAAATCTCGAATAAACGGGTGCTTGAGGTCGGGCTTTGTCATGGTCCTGCAAAAGAACAACCCAAAGTGGAAGTAAAAGAGCCAAAGGAAAGGTTAATTACACCCCCACACTTAAGACCAGAAAACAGCCGAACCATGGTTTCATCCATAGTTCGGGGGTCAAAAACTCGATCAAACAAGCATAATCGGGGTGGGGGTGCATATCCATGAAAAAGTAGGAAACTCAAGGTTCACATCCATAGCAAACACACCCTCAAATCACATCATTACGGGCCCCAACCGGCGCCCACAACATGGCATGAAAAACAGTCATTTCATCGAACACCTTGTGTGCACTATTAAGTTAAGCATGGAATTGACAAATTCATAGCACACAAGGGCTCAATCAAGCAAGAGGGACATTGCCCAACCTCATTCACACACAAACCAAGCTTTCCCCTAATTCAATTGCACACAATTCTCATGATTCAAAGTTGTTCTCTAAACATACACCCTAACACCCAATTCTCCATAAATCACAAGGTTAAGGTCAAAATCAAACCTGGAGACACAAGTGGAGGTGTAGGGGATGATGAGGGGAAGGTAATGGAAGCGACGAAGAGGCCAAAATCTGCCCAGAAGTGCTCGTCGGAGCCTCGCCGGAGTCTCGCCGGAAATCGCCTCCGGCGACTCAAAATCGGTCCAAATCACCTCAAAGTCGAGGGATAGGCCGAAAATGGGGAGAAAAGGATGGATGTTGGGGTGGTTTGGTGAAAACCCGACCAAAAAAGGCCGAAAATCGCCAAAGTGGGCGAAAGGTCGCGGTTTTTCGGCGAGGGGGAGAGGATTCCGGTGAGAAGATTGGGATTTTCTGACCACGCGGCTGTGTCGGCTCAAATTTATAGAGGCTGGCTCGGCCACATGGGCAAGCTCACACGGCCGTGTGAGGTGCACATGTGCCCGTGTGGGCCGACACGGGCTGGCTGAGGATTTCCACACGGCCATGTGAAAAGCACTACTGGCCGTGTGGAAATTGTCGAGAACTCACATGGGCAGGGGGCCAATCCACACGGCCATGTGAGGGTCCCCTCTTGCCCGTGTGAAATTTCCAAGGAATCCACAGGGCCAAAACCCATTTCCACACGGCCGTGTGACTTTCAGGGCTAGACGTGTGGGCTGCCAGAACTTCGAATTTGACCTGTTTTCACTCAAAAACGACATACGACTCGGGAACAACACCTTAAGACTCAAAAACACAAAAAATAAAAAGGAAAAAGGTAAGAAAATGCAAACCTAGGTGGGGTTGCGTCCCCATTAGAGCTTCTTTACCGTCTTTTAGCTGGACACCAGTAGAGGAACTACGGGTCCTCGAGCTTGATCAGCAGCTCTGCGCGCTCGATAGCACCTCCCAAGTACAACTTTAGGAGGTGGCCATTCACCTTGAATGGCTCAGTTTGAGCATTGCTGATCTCCACCGCACCGTGTGGGAAAACTTGGGTGACCGTGAAGGGTCCCGACCACCTCGATCGTAGCTTGCTCGGGAAGAGTTTCAGGCGTGCATTGAAGAGCAGAACACGATCACCTACCTGAAAATCCTTCGAGCCCCTTAACCGAGCGTCGTGGAGACGCTTGGTTTGCTCTTTGTAGAGCAGGGTGTTCTCGTAGGCGTGGTAACGCCATTCCTCCAACTCCAGCAGGTGCAACTTACGTTCAGTACCTGCAACACTCAAATCCAGTTTCAGCAGCTTAATGGCCCAGAAGGCCTTGTGATCTAGCTCTACTGGCAGATGACACGCCTTCCCATAGACAAGCCTATAGGGAGAAAAGCCAATCGGGTTTTTATAGGTCGTCCTATATGCCCAAAGTGCATCATCGAGCTTGGTGGACCAATCCTTGAGGGACTGGTAGATGACACG